TCTGGGGTTACTGTAGGGGCTCAGTGGAGGGCCCTGTGCTCCCCACATGCATACCTCACCCTCCTCAGGACCAGACCAGAGGCCATCTTTGGAGGAAAGGTGAAAGAATGTCTATCTCCAGGCGAGACACCACCGGAGGCTGTATGAGTTCTAGTTGACAGGCATTAATGAATCAAAGGTTCCCTGAGTGCATATTATGTTCTGGGAACTGGGCCCCCATTGAGGTCCCACTTCACTGGGGGAAGACAGAGTGAAAATGTAAAGACACAGACCAGCTAGGTCAGGTCAAGTGGTAGTAACACTTCAGAGAAAAGCAAGCAAGGGAGGTATAGGGAAGCTGGGAAGGGGATCTCAGGAGTGGCCAGATTGGAGACATTTGGACTGGGAAAATAAATGGCTAAATGGTGTCAATCATGCAAGAGCTGGGGGAAGGTGGGCCAGGAAGAGGCCACAGCAAAGCAAAGATTCTGCAGCAGTAATAAACAGAAACTTAGATGTGCAGAAAGACTGAAGTGCTGGAAGGTGATGAACCACAGGTTAAAGGATACAAAGTGGGGTGGGAAGGGCATGCAGGGTCTGGTCGGATTTTATTCCAAGTGTCTTTCTGTATTAGTTAGCTCTTGCTGTGTAACAAATTAACCTACCCTCCACAAATTCAATAACTTAAAACAAAACATGATGTTTTATCTCATAGTTATTTTGGATTGGGGGTCTGGGCCCTTCACTTCACGGTGTCTCACACAGCTCCAGGTTCACCTGGGAAAGGCTCTGCCCTAAGGTCCTGTGGTTATTGGCAGCATTTCCTGTGGGCTGTTGATCTGAGGTCACCCACCATTTGTTCCATAAGGGACACTCCAATCTGTCAGCTTGCTTCATCAATTGGACAAGCCAAGGAGGTGACAGAGGAGTGTGTTGGCAAGGTGAAAGTCACCATGTTCGTAACCTGATCACAGAGATGATATCCACTACCTTTGCTATAACCCATCTTCTGGAAGCAAGTCACAGGCCTCCCCTCCCCTCCCCCACCAAGAATACCTGGAGATGGGATCTTTGGGGGTATTAGAATTTTGCCTGCCACACATACACAGGAAGCCACAAAGATGTCTGAGGAGGGAGGTGACATGTTCTGATGCATATTGTCAGTGGGTCACTTTGACTTCCTGAAGTATTGAGAGTGAGAGCGGGGTTTGGCCAAGAGCAGACATCAGATGACCAGTAGGAGGCTACCATAAACGACAACACTAGGTTGGGCTGAGGACCTAATGGGAGAGAGGCTGAGAAGTAGGGCATAGTGACCTTGCCAATGTATAGGTGATGGGGACAAGGGAAGAGGAAGTGGGGCTCACACAGGGCTATCTGGGATAGGTGCCTGGGACTCTAATTTTCTTCCTGGAACACACAGGGTGGCATTATCCATCCCCCCAGCTCTCCCTAAGGTCACACATTTGATGGCTACCTGGCCATCATTAGGCCATGAGCAGTGACACATGCCTACTTGGACCAGGCCAGGAGACTGACCCCACGTCTTCAGTCCCATTAGCCTACCACAGTCGGACCAAGCAAGCCAGCGAGCAGAGGGGAAGGGAGACTATCTTATTCCTCTGCTCACCTATCCCTTTGCTCACAGAGCCAGCCAGCGCTGGAGAGGGCTGGTGGGATGGGGGTGTGTGAGCATGTGTGTAGATGTATGTGTCATCTGTCTGTCTCAGGTGCGCCACAGTTCGAATGGGCAATGATTCAGGGCAGGGAGTTACTCAAACTGACCCTAGAATGTCAGGGCACCACTAAGACTAAATACCAGAGACATACACACTGAAATTCTTTCGCTGAAGACTCTTCGTAATATCTTTATCTGTTAACGCATGAATAATAAACCTGTACACACTTGCTGTCTATTTATGTTACAGTGTGACAGTCTCACTGCTAAGCACTTGAGGATATTCCATTTAATCCTCACAACAACCCGGTAAAAGGGTCCTGTTATATCATTTCATAGATGGGAAAACAGGCTTGCAGAATTAAGTAACTTGCCCAAGGTGACAGAGCCCAGATTTGACTCAGGTTTGTCAGATTTCAAACCCCATGTTCCCAACTCCCATTTAGGCTAGTAGAAGATTCATTTCCTGATTCTGGAGGGGAAATGAGGGGTGGGGGTGTTTCTTCTACAAAGAAACTGGTCCAGTCTTGCCAGAGAGGAGGGTTGAGCTCTGACCAGTGCAGTTGCAGGTGGTGCCCCCCACGTCCCCACCCCGGTGGTGACCTCTAGGAAGTGCAGTAGGAGAGCAAGTTTGGGTCAGTACACTTAGTGGACACAGAGACACAGAGGTCATGGAGCCAGGGTCCATGGTGTCAGGGCTAGAATCTGTCTCCTTTCCTGGGGCCCAGGGAATGTTCTAGTGCCTCCTGCACTGATTAGAAGTGATTCACACCAGTAACCCAAATGACATCACCAAACACCAGCCACATTTTTATCATTCAAACCTGGTTTTGCACCTAAGATTTCACATTCTGGCATCATCTTCTTTACAATTCAGGGCCTCAGACTGTGGCTGATTTAGATGTTGGTTTGGTACCCAAAGGGGAAAGCCTCACACTGTTTTTTTTTTTTCAGGGTCCAGGCCCCACATGGGGGATTTCCTGGAGACCTCCAAGTTCATAGCTCCCCAAGGCCTGGCCTCCCCATAGATGGGGAGTAAGACAGACAGGAAGTGCTCTGAAGCTCCCCAACATAGGGCAGGGATGAGGGTTCTGGAGTGGGGAGGGGGGAGTTGGGAAAAGGTTTTTAAAACGTCCGGGTACCTTGGGCATTTGCCACACCCGTGCTTGGAGCCTCGTGACATAGGGATCACAAAGTGATTATAAATGCAGATACACAGCTGATCAGTGAACTCTGTAAGTTTCTCTGGGTCTGTTCACCTGTGATGCTAGTTCTCCAGTCCTAAGAAGCTCCTTCCCGGGAAGGATGCAGGATGAGCAGGTTAATGGCGCAGGTGGGGACTCACAATGCCTGTGTTCTATTTCCAGCTGCTATTACTGACTCACAGAGTGACCTTGCTGAGGTCACGGCTATGTGTTTCTTGCTGGCAAGGCAGGGGGGAATCAGAGGTGGTGAAGCTTGCCTTTTTCCAAGGAATGAGAGTCTTAGAATATGGGGGTCCTCCTGGTCCCCATGAACCCGAGTCATGTCTGGGGTTTAGATTTGTTTGGATCCAAGGGACTTTTGAGGACACTTGAAGCAAGGCATTCCTGCCACAGGAAGACTCCTGGCCACTTTTTCATGCAGTGTTTCCCGACAGTTTTCAAATCATGTCCCACACAAATAACTCCTATATAAGGGAGAGGAAAGCATTTTCTTCCTCATTTCAGGATGAAAGAATCCAGGCTGGGAGAGTATTTTTTGGCAGTTTCATTACTAGGAGCCCTTTTGGTTATTTTGCAACCAGGCACCCCCCTGTTGTGCAAGTGCTTTTTGGCTAAATTCACTCCATTTATTAGGTAGAGATCCACTGTTTTCATTAATCAAAGTCACCGATGACTGCCAGTTAAAGTTTCTGCTCAGCACAAAAGAACTTGTGTGACCAATGAGTTCACTGCCAAGAATTGCAGCATTTACTCCAGATGACCTACTCCTAGGTCAAGGCCACTTATCACCAGACTTTGAAATTTTGCAAAGGCATTATCTTCAATAGACCCAGGCTCAGAAGTCCCCACTGAGTGGCCTGTGAAAGATTCTGTGGCCAGTGTGGGGTCAAGGCCACACCCGGGGTCCTGACTCATAAGGAGTGCTGCAGCCAATCAGAGCCCTTGGCCAGGAAGGCCAGTGTGCATACTCACTCCTGCAGGCACACCGGTGCACACCGGCAAGACAGCAGCCCAACCAACACAGGGGTCATAAGGCAGTGTGGCTTAGGGCTCACCCAGCAATGGTGCTCCTCAGCAGTGAACCAAGCCAGAGATTGGAAAAGTGCAATCAATCATGCCAGAGTCTGGAGGGCCTGAGGCCGACATGTTTATTCTGCCACCTGCCTGCACTTTGGATGGCTCTTCAGCAGTGCATCTCTCTGACCTGCTCTTTCACTCAGTCTGGGAACATTCAGACCACTCCCCCAGCATTTCCTCTTCAACAGAGTGAGACTAGAGTAGGGGACTGTGCCCCTGAAGCTGGGGACCCTGGGAAAGTGGGGACATAGGCAGGGGACAGGAGGTCTGGCTTGGTGGTCTGAGTATAAGTGGAAGAGTTGCTAACGTCAAAGCCTCCCTTTCCTTTGTTCCTCCCCAGGGCTCCAGCAAACACTGTCCCTTTGGAGTCCTTGGCTGTGTCCCAAGGCTCAGTTGCTTGATCCCAGGGCTCAGAGGCATCAGCGGTCTGTACCTTTGGAAAAAACTGGGGGCTTAGCTTTGGGACTTGAGAATTGCAGGCTCTGCCAATCCCCAGCAAGGCCAGAAGCCAGGGCAGGGTCTCTGAGAGCCTGTTGTGAACAGCTGTTCCTGAATTATTTTGGTCCTGGAGGAGCTGGTCAATTCCAGGGTATTTGGACCAAAATAGCCAACAGCAGGACACCCCCTCAGGGGTGTGTGGGGTCCTCTCCGTGGAGAAGTTACTAAAATGGGGTTAGGTGGAGAGAAAGGGGTTTGGCTTGGGGGATGGGGAAGATGGTGAGGAGTGAACTCTCCTGCCAATGTCTCAGGCCAGCCTCATCCCCTCCTGGTTCTCCTTTCAGCCTTGGCACCTCCCTGATCAAAGCCAGGGTTGGGGGTGGGTTGATAATTTCCAAACATCAGTTTTTGACTCCCTAGTTTTCAAGTAGGGCTGGTGAGATCCACAGATAATAATCTGTGCCCATTTCACAGATAATTCTAATCGGGTTCAGAGAAACAGAGGCGCTGGTCCTGGGCCACACAACTCATGCACCATAGTTCCTCTTGGTTAGGCCTCAGTCAGATCGGCGGTAGATCCCTGCCAGGTGCGTGTCAATTCCACCCTGGATCTCTGGGCCAGCATGGAAAGTGCTGACTGGCCCTGGCTGTCCTTTGGGCCCTGGCAACCTCCAGCCTTGCTCACCCTCCTCTTTCCTGACATGAGTCAAGTACAGGAGGTAGTAGGGAGAAAGAAAACCCAGGTAACCGGGAACCCCAAACGAACTCAGATCGGCACCTCCTGGAGGGGACTTGAAAGCCTGCGGGGATTATCTAGGGTACACAGCAAGCGTGACCCAGGCCGGCTCACTTTGGTTACAGGAGTGGCGCGCTCTGATCGCTTGGGTACCAGGCAGACAACAGGGTGCGGGGCGCATGCCCCGTACACGTATACGCCCTATGGAAACGGCTCCAGGGCTAGGTAACTGAACTTGGTGGTCCAGTGCCGATGGCCAGGTCCGTGCGACAGGTCTTTCTGGGCAACAGCCGCTGGGCTAGTTCTGCAGCCCCCGCCTCTGCTCCGGGATTTTCCAGCGGGTTAATTTCCTGTGCCGGCAAATCCTTTTGCAAGCGCCTCCCGGCTCCCTCCCCGCCTCTCCCTCCTCCCTCCCTACCGCCCGGGTCTGTCTGCTGGGTGCTCCGCCACCCCCGCGCGCCGGGGCGCACGCCCTCCCCGCCCCGCTGCCCTCGGGCTTCCAGTGTCCGGCAGCCGGGGCTCCGCTGCGCCGCCGCGCGCCAGGATCTAGCGGAGAGCCGCGTCCACGTCGCCGCGTGCGGCCCGGGCCCTCGGCCATGCGCCCCCGCGACCCTCCCCGCCGCCCTACTAGCCCAGCTGCGGCGCTCGGGCTCTGCAGCCTCCTGCTGCTGTTCCGGTCCGGGCACGGGTGCCCGGCGGGCTGCACCTGCACCGACCCTCACACCGTGGACTGCCGCGATCGCGGGCTGCCCAGCGTGCCCGACCCCTTCCCCCTGGACGTGCGCAAGCTGCTAGTGGCCGGCAACCGCATCCAGCAGATCCCCGAGGACTTTTTCATCTTCTATGGCGATCTGGTCTATCTGGACTTCAGGAACAACTCGCTGCGCTCTCTGGAGGAGGGCACGTTCAGCGGTTCAGCCAAGCTCGCCTTCCTGGACCTCAGCTACAACAACCTGACCCAGCTGGGCGCTGGCGCCTTCCGCTCGGCCGCGAGGCTGGTCAAGCTGAGCCTGGCCAACAACCACCTGGCCGGTGTGCACGAGGCCGCCTTCGAGACCCTGGAGTCCCTGCAGGTGCTGGAGCTGAACGATAATAACTTGCGCAGCCTCAACGTGGCCGCCCTGGCCGCCCTGCCCGCGCTGCGCACAGTGCGCCTGGACGGGAACCCGTGGCTCTGCGACTGTGACTTCGCCCACCTCTTCTCCTGGATCCAGGAGAACGCGTCCAAACTGCCCAAAGGTGAGCCAGGAGGTTGGACTGGCTGGGGTGCGGGAAGGAGCAGGGATGGGCTACGGATTGCCACAGCCCTGAATCTGAGTGTAACAGGCTCTGGGTTGGGCCTGGAGGAGGACACCTGGGGGCTCAGCAGCAGCTGCCCTGGCTGACAGGAGCACTGGGTGTACCTCTGGAGGTTTCCCAGTGTGAACTTTTCCTGGATTTCTGCTGGAAGGGGGCGTGGAGGGGCACATCCAGAATTTTCTGCAGGTTTTTGGTCTCAAGGCCGGTCTTCTTCCCTTTTTCCTTCACCAACTTACTTTGCCAAATCTTGGACCTGTGGGCTCTGCACCAGCCGCGGTCATGGTCATCTCAGGAGGCTTTGAGCCGATGGCAGGTGGAGGTGGGTTATTTATGGGTCCTTCTAGGTGGAAGGCACCCTACTGCATGTCCCAATATGGGACACACGTTCTCAGGGTTGTCTGGTAGCCTCTAAACTGGTCTCTCTGCTCCGTGGGCCAGTTTGCTCTTCTGTCTGTGGGGTGAGCAATAGTCCCTGTGAGGGCTAAAAGCAGCCCCTGGGAGCCAGTCATGCATGATTTATAGTTCTGTGGCTTTTCAGCCCAGACGTTGAAAAAAAGTGGAACAAAAGCCTTGCAGCCTGGTGCCGTCTTTGCTGTCCCGGTGTGTCCCCTCCCAATGGCAATGTGGATGTACACACACAGTTGACAGAGAGGAACACAAGTAGCCCTGCAGGAAGGAAACAAAGGTAGGGTGGAGGAAAGGAGGGACCCCAGTATCCATAGGGATGTCAGTTAGACAGTTGGCAGATGATGTCCTTGCCCTGGGTGGATTCCAGCTTCCACTGGTGAGTCTGGGAGCATCAGCCCACAGTGACCCTCAGAGCCAGATCCTTCTCCCACCTGCCCCCAAGGTTTTGGTGGAATTGGAACCAGCTCTGCGAAGCGCACATTGTAAAAGCTGACATCTACACAAATGTGCTTTTGCTTTCTCTTTATTCCATTTATGGGGAGCTTGGATGCTGCTCTGTGTGTAGAATGTCTGTGTCCACTTACCATGCCACATGGTCATGGCACCCTCTCTGTACCTCCAGGTGGCTTCTACCCTGCTAGTCAGTTCCCTGAATTGGTACTTTCACACTGGGCTGGCTCTATCATGTGAGCAATTCCTAAAAAGATCTGGTCTGCAAGGTGCAGAGTCCCCCAACTTCAAACTTTGCCCTTATTCTCCTGGCTGACTCCCAGGATTTTCGAGAAGACTGACAGCAATGACCTGGTGAAGACCTCACTGGGGACGGGGACCATCTTGCTTCTGGTTGGTCCTGCCTTTGCGTTTGTTGTTGCTGGCATTATCACCCCTCCGCATTTTGGTTAGGTTGGGGTAACTGGCTCCCAGTGAGGGCGAAGGTGTTCTGGAGTGGGGAACCTGGAGTTCAGTCTCAGTTCTGCTGGGGGTGGCTGGGACTTTGAACAGGTCATTTATCACTTTAGTGCCTCAGTTTCCTGATCTCTAGAGTCCTTGAGTTGGCCTCTGAGATCTCCATAGAGACCCGGATTGGAGTCTCTGAAGTCATGGGTTTGAGTCCTGGCTTAAAGTCTGAAGACTCAGAGTAGGTTACGTAAGGCTTTTGAGCCTCACCTTCCTCATTCGTGAAATTGGAACACAGTAATGAATGCTGCGTAGTCCGGCTGACCGGTAGTTGTCAGGATCAAAAATGCAGTGATGTAAGTGAAAGTACAGTGCAGCGTGAATGCAAGCTCTTCCTCCTCCACTGTCACATAGGTTCAGACTCAGAGCAGGGGACAATGTCAGGGCCCTGGGGAGAGAATGTGGCTGGGGAAAGACTGGTGTCATCCAGCCAGGAGAACATGGAGGCAGCTGGAAGAGACCTCCCAGAGTGCAGAGCCAAGGACAGCTCTGGACTTACTGCACTGCCCATTGCGTGGGGCCAGACCAGTGTCCCCAGACTGTGAACTAAAGGTGGGGTGAGTGATGGAGGACCTGGTCCAGACCTCTAGTGAGAAACTGAAGTTCAGATCTGGACTTGGGTTTATGCTCTTGAGTGAGGCCTTGACCTCTCAGTCTGAATTCAGAATATAGTGACAATGTTCTCCACCACGTTTGCTGTGATGTTTAAATTCGATCATGGGTTGCTCAGTAGATATTAATCCCCCTTTCCTCCTCCTGCATTTGTGCACCTTCTTATATTTAAAATTTAAAAATGTAACTGACATACTATGATTATACATATTTTTGGGGTATTTGATACATACACACAATGGATAGTGATCAAACAAAAGTAATTACCATTTTCATCTCCTTAACCATTTATTATTTCTTTGTTCTGGGAACCATCAAACTCTTTAGTTCTTTATAAAATATTTAATAGGTTGCTGTAAGCTGGAGTCACCCCACTGTGCTGTAGAACCCTACAACACATTCCTCCTATCTAGCTGAATTTTGCCACCCATTATTTGCCATCCCTCTATCCCCCTCCTCTCTCTCCCATTCCTAGGCTATGCCTTTCACAGAGTCTAAGACCAAGTGCATAAGACTCAGTCTCTGTCACTGAGGGGTCCCCTCCGCCCTTTGGTGGTGTTGGGGCTTGAACTCAGAGCCTTCGTGCATGCTAGGCAAGTGTTCTACTACTGTCCTACATGGCTTTTTTTTTTTACAGTACTGGGACCATGTGGATCCCGGTATTCTCATCTGTAAAATAGGGGTGCTGTGGCACCCACTTGAAGAGGTTTCTGGGAGGAGAGGGGGTTATTTTTGAAGGACTTAGAACAGCAGCTAGCTCACGATAGGGGCAGTGTTAGTGCCATCTTGATTGTCTTGTTGTAAGTAGGAGGTCAGTGAAGTCATGGAGTGAGTTGCCCAAGGTCACGTAGAGTAAAAGCAGAGATGGGGGATGCACCAGGACCTCTGGGCTCCCAGTCCGCTCCCCACCATGCTGACCACCCATTTTCTGCCAAAGAAAATCAGGCTCCATCTGGGTCCAAGCCCTAGGCTTTCTAGGTGGGTCCTCTGCCTCCCAGGGAGGAAATTAAAGTCAGAACAAAGAGGATGGCAGCATCTCCGGCCTTGCCTTTCCCTCACCTCCTCTGCTCTCCCCTGCCACTTGACCCCCGCCCTGTCCCCAGAGAGGCAGGAGGAGCCAGAGCTTCTTCCCTGTGACCTTGACTAGCTCCACGGTTGCAAAGATGTGCTGTCTGCCAGGTAAGCCTTCCCTTGTGGCCATAGCACCAACGGGGAGCATTCAGCCAGAACCAGCCACCAAGGGGAGGACACGAGAGGCCTTCTGGTCCCCTCTGCCCAGGCTCCTTCACTGGGTCTGAGGCCTGAGAAGAAACTGCCCCAAGGAAGGGAAGAGTGCAAGGAAATTCCAGGATGTCCAATGGTCTTTTAGCAAAGCCAAACCAAAACCACCACCCAAGCAAACTCCCATGGCACCCAGTTAGTGTGGAATTTCAGATCAATGACAAACGTTTTAATGCATAAATATTACTGTCATTGATCTGAAATTCTGTAATAATTTGGCATCCTTTTATGTTTGTTTATTTTTAAGACAGGGTCTCACTATGTAAGCCAGGCTGGACTTGAACTCATGTTCCTCCTGCCTCAAACTCCAGAGCTGGGATGATAGGTGTGTACCACCACTCCCAGTTTAGGCATTCTGTATTGTACCTGGCAGACCTATCACCTATCTGATGGGTGTAAGGCACTTTGTAGTTTACAAGTGCTGTCTCTTTTAACACAGCAGTCATGCCTGGAAGACACCTTTACCTACAGTTTACCCAAAAGAAACAAATGAAGTGCAAGGAGGTGAAGTGTGCTTCACAAGTCCCTGTAGTTACTGGGAGAAGTGAGATTGAACTCTGGAGCATCCAGCCCACACCTGATCCTTCTGATGCTACCCCTCCCCCAGCCTTCAGTTCCCTTGGGTGACAGAGGGCTCCTTCCTCTTTCCAGCCCCAGGTTCTGTACCTGGTCTGATGGCTTTCCTGTGAGATATTAGGGTCACAGACAGTTAGGGACAGTGGGTGGCCAAGGGGACAGAGATGTTCTCTCTTTAAGTAGATAGGGCTCCAGACAGATCTGGAAGCCACAGAACTCAGAAATCATTCAGGTGACAGGCCAGGGTAGAGAGAGAGAGGGAGGAGGGTCTGGAGGAGACCAGGAAGCAGGAGCTGTGATGGCACCCTTGTCACAGACACAATGATCTTTAAAGCCTTTCACTGTCACATCTCCTGGTACAGTAGCCTGGCAAGTAGACAGGAAGTAAAGCCACAGGAACAAGGTGTCATCCCTGAATCCCTCTGGGAGATTGGTTGAAATGCAGGTTCCTGGGCCCCAGCCCTCTTGGGTGAGCACCTGGGAGTGGGGCTGAGGATCACAGTGTCACAAGCCCATGTCTCCAGGGGTTTCCTATGCATACATAGGCCAGGGGACTGCACTGCAGAGGGAAGGGCTTTCTGCTGCTTCTGTGGCTCCATAACTCACTAGCTGTGGAACATGTTCTCTGGGCCTGTGATTTTTCTTTTGCAAACAAAAGAGTATGGGTAGGAAGATGAGAGGACTTGTTCCAAGTGTACATTCTGTGGCTTTAAGGGAAGGGAATATTATCCTGGTTTTACAGATTGGGAAGTTGAGGCCTGGGGAGGCCAGGGGTCCTCCAAAGACCCCTTTAGGAATTCAGGGAGGACTGTAGTCTCTGTGCAGCAGGTGGAGGCAGCAGAGCACCTAGCCAAATCGGGACTCTGAGCTCATGGGCGGTGATGCTGTCACAGCATGAAGGGACTGGCTGCTTGCTGTCCCCAGCCTTGGTCCTGGAGCCATAGTGGAAAAGGGCCAGTGGGTTGAGAGACAGAATCTAGTTGACTCTGTGCTTTGGAAGTCCTTGGAACAAGTGACACAGCCCACACCAAGCCAGAGAGCTCTTTGCAGGATAGGGGGCAGGCAGGTCTCGGGGTGAATTTGCCCAGGCCCCTCTTCCACCTCCCTATCTAGTCATGGTCACATGTGGTGGGTGGTCTTAGCCTACAGTACCAGGGAAGAAATGTGAGCTGAGTCTCTTGCTCTGTGTCCTTGACACATACAGGTATGAAAGATGAGGCTAGCAGGAGGATGGAATTAAACACCTGTGCAG